CAATGAAAGTTCAAATATGTCTCTTAGCTACATCATCATGTTAAGCATGCCTGACCAAAAATCAAATAATGCAAAAAGTCAGTCTTGAAGATTAATAGAGAATACCGGAAGGCCTATACGAGAGACTTTCTGTGAGGTGACATTTACATAATGCTCACTAAACAGTTGCAAATCAACCGAAATACTGCATATAGTACTGTACGCCGAGCAATCGGAACTGATGACGTTGTGGAAAAGGAATTTGGTAAAGTAACCATGGAAATAAAAGATGAGCAGGTTTCGATAGCCGAAAGCCACCCAGATTACTCTTTCAACAAAATAAAAGCAGGTTTTCAAATGGCTCTACCTTCCTCATCTTGCATTTGTTGCTGCGGCTACTTTGAACAGATTGTGAGAGAGAGGGGGGTGGGATGGGTGAAGAGAGAGAGAGAGAGAGAGAGAGAGAGAGAAAGAGAGAGACAGAGAGAGAGAGAGAGAGAGACAGATAGACAGACAGAGAGACAGACAGACAGAGAGAGAGAGAGAGAGAGAGAGAGAGAGAGAGAGAGAGAGAGAGAAGGGGGGATCTACTACTACTTGTATCTGACCTGCAAGCAGTTCATAAAGTCGTAGAACTGGCCGTACGTGAAGTGGCCCCAGTGGGTGGCCACCGGGTGTATCCGGTGCCCCATACTGTTGTAAAGAATGCGGGCGTCAGCCAGACCCATCATTATGACGTGACTGTTGTTGGGCAGCGTTGCATGCTGTTACGTGGTTGGATAAAATCGTCATAGTTATGATTGTGTCACAAAAGACCTCAGTCAAACCGTGTGTCTTCCATTTATTAGTTTTATTATAACTACAACTATAAAAAAACAGAGAAATGCCCAAACTCTCCCATACATACAAATCCAACCAGTAACATCAAATTAAGTAACATCTCGTTCTCATCCTGTCTAACTGGGTGTATTGATTGTCAAAGGAAAATAGAATTATCAAGTCGCAACATGGAAAAGCAGTACTGATTAACATACTTCCTGAGTGTTAATCCACGAGAAATATAGTTCCAGACACACTGTTTGCCCCCAATTAAAGTAATTTTAGTCCCCCTCCCCTCCCTTTCCCTCTTCCACCCTATTTCGGATTGTACTTGAACTAATAAGTACATCCGGGGTCCTCATATTTGGGTGGACGTGGCGTCGTGCGGGAAAGACGATTTTAATTTATTTCAATAATGGGGGGCAAGGAAAGGAGCAGAGAAATGAAGAAGTTCATTGTTCATTGTTTCAGGAAGCAACATCCCTGCATTCCGGACATGTCCATTGATGTTCTGTTGCTCTCTCCAAAATGTCGCTGAGGGTCTTTCCACTGATTGTGCCCGTGCACATCTGGTTGAACGTTCTTCTGTTCTTTCCTGCAAGGATGCCAGATTTTCCGCTTCCTTTTTGTATTCCCAAAAGCATCATCCTCTCCACGGCGGTACTGGCCTCTGCCTCCCTATCTTCCTCCTCAATCAGCTGGCGAGAGAGACATTTCAGGATCTCGACGCTATCTGGTTGAACCATATTGTCAACTGAGGTGGCCTCACCAGCCAGTCTGTCGGCTTTTTCATTTCCCCTTACACCTGCATGGCCAGGGCAGAAAATCCAAGAGAGTGATCGTATAGGCGTTGCTTTGATGAAGAAGTAAGAGCAGCTATTGGCACTGAGTCCTGCTTGGATTTCATAGAAAGACCGAGTATAAAATGGTTCGGTCACCTTGCCAGCCAGCCTCGAGAGCCTACAACACCAGGCACACAGGCTATAAAGGAAGAGGAAGGCCACGCAAAAGGTGGATTGATGAGGGTGTCAAAGAAACCCTGAGAAAACATAATATCACAACTGAAAGAGTGGCGGAGCTGGCCTACCATAGAAAACTGCATCTCCCCTCAACGCTTAAAGGAGGAAAAAGTAAAAGTAAAGTAAGTAAGAAAAGGGGTGGAAAGGGAGGAGGGGGAAAGGGCGTTTTTGTTTATGTTAGGGGATAAAAATGTATGACTGAAGTTAATGGCACCTATTGTCTTTACATTGTAGACTACTAATTATTTTTTTAGTATCCATAGTTTTATTTTACATATATTTGTGACCTGTTGTACATAACATTACTACTTTTTCAGCAGCTGAAACCTGTTATGAGCCATTTCAGTTTCACGCACTGAAGACGATCTCCTCAAACTACAAATTTACATTTTTTTGGTGCTTTTCAATAAAATCCGCTCAGAAAGTGAGCTGAGAAGAAAAGAAAAATCGATAAAAACCGTCAAACGGGTGGGAAAATGCCCATATCTTCGACTTCACTATTTTGACGAGCACCTGATTTCTACACCAAGACACACATACTATCGTCTTTAGTATATTGAACTGGATAGTGTTTACAATATAAAGTTCTTGAAGAAAAAGGTCTTTACAAATTACGTGTCCAGATAATATTGAGGAGAGAAACATTTACTAAAAAGTATTCCTGGTGAAGGTAGGAGGAGCAGGTGCGTGACCCCATCAGACGCTACAACAACCAGCTGATGATGGAGACAATCAGCCTGCCCACACTGAAATGAACCCTTAAGAAGAGGGGTGAGGAAGCATGGAGCACCCCGTCTTCCTAAGACCCCAGTTCTACATTCAAGTAATTCAAGTAAGTAGTATTCCAGGATACTGAAGATACCCCCCCCCCCCACAATCTACTAGACTCACCAGATGTTCCAGCGTGTTCACCGTGTTGTCGTACATTGCCTGAGGGGTCGTCATGTGAGCGACTGTGTCAGGGTACCTGGAATAGGTAGCCACTCACAGTCACTTACAGCATCATACTAAAGTCTTTGGTCATACTACTATTATTTGGTCGCTTTTAAGGACAAGCGAGGCTAACCCAGATTTCGGGGGTTTCCAGAAATCGTGACCTGCACCAAAAGTGGGCATTTCCCTACCTATAGGAGACGTTTGGTTTCATTGGTCATGGTGTGTATATTTATTTGGTTATAGAGAAAACTCTCCTCGTCTTTAAAGAGACTGAACAAGGGTCCAAAAACTTTACCTTCGATTTTCTCAAAATAGCATTTCCCGGGATGGCTCAGTTGTGCTTAAAAGCGACCATTTAAAGGCAGAAAAATACAATACGTTGGTCATACAAAACACTGCCAGACCATACATGTGCTATGTAAATGCAATTTTCATTTCTCAAGTATGATAATATTATGCATATTATTATACTTGTATGCTTGTTTGTTTGTGTGTGCGTGCGTGTGAGTGTGTGTGTGTGTGTATGTGTGTGTGCGTGTGTGTGTGTGTGTGCGTGTGTGTCTGTGTGTGTGTGTGTGCGTGTGTGTGTTTGTGTGTGAGAGTATGTGTAAGCGTGAGCGTGAGCTTTGGATCAACATCTCATTTCTTTATTTTGTTTTTTAATATAGTTTATGTTCCCTTGCACGGTTCAGTGGCTGATAACAACACAGACACCATGATGAGCTAATCAAAATAAGTTCAGACATAGCAAAACAATTCTCACCCGTTGCAAACGTCATTTCCAATAAGAGCATAGAGGACAATGATCGGATGGTCTCTCTGGGGATTTCGGGCCAGTCTGTCGAAAAGAAGACAATAAAAGAAAAAATATTATTTTTACACAGAGGAGTGTAAATAGTGGGGTTAAAATTTGTGGCGCAACTTATCCTACAATATCTCTTTAATGGTAGAATCAATGTCACCCATACTTTGCCCAGCAGTTTACATCAATTTGTTTTAAGGTAATCATGTTTTTCCACAACAATTATTATTGAGGCTAGATTCAAACATTTTTCTTCGTAAATTTATATAAAATACTATAAATCTCCGTCACACGGAAAACGGTATTGTTCACAGCACTTCCCGCTTCTCACACACATTTTGCATGTGCATACGGCAAACGTCATAGCTCACCATTGACACTTTATAGTGTCAAAACATTTTTCAAGAAATTAATTTTTTAGTGAAAACTTTTTTTTTTTTACAGTAAAGGTTCTCAATACATACGTTCAATAAGCATAATGTCGTGATTAGAAGAAAGCGGACTGACTTGTTTTTAAAAGCAAAACGGGTCATGTATTGCCCCAGATGTAAACCTTTAAAAATCACTGGGATTTTAAAATAGTATTCATTGAGCAATTTTCTAGAAAACAGATAGCAGGTCTTTAAAAAAATCTTGATCTGTTAAGACAAACTGATGCAAGTCATTGAGCAAAAGCTGGAGACTTTATGTTCGATGGTTGAGTAAATATTTGACAATAAGTTGCGCAACGAATTTTTGACTGCACTATAACTCTTTTTTAAAAAATGACGCCATCAGTTGAGCACTTTGCACAGTAATTGTCTCTAATTTGTTTCTGATGAATAAACAGAGGTGTGCAAAATGTCTAACACCCCCCCCCGCTTCCTTTTTTCCCTTTCTGTTTTAAAACAACCCAAAAATGTTGTAATAGTCGGACAAACAAGATGGGGGACAGGTGGTGAGCCAAACAGGACAAGATTGAAAGAGGAGAGACACAATTAATTTTTATGGAGAAAAAACGACCCCTTCCCTCCAAAGTCTACGTATCATGACTTTCTTCTCAAAAATATATTTTAAAAGTACGTGCATTTTGCATTTCTGCACGTTTTTTTTCTTCCCTCAAGCCGTTTCAGTTTTCGAAAATAAGTTTCTTCTTTATGGATTATATTCCAAGCAAATTCCTTTTGAATAGATTAGATCGGTTCTAAGTTATAACATTTTAGAACATCTTTTGTACGAGATATTTAGAACAAAAAGTTGTAGCACTCTGTAATTCCTATTTCCCAAGTTTAATGGGACTTCTCAGCGTTTTGTTATCTTCTTCAACAACATTGTAAATCTTGTTTACAACTGTTATTTACAACTAGTTGGGTACCCCGTTCGATGACGGAACTCAAAAGAATCGATCATCAAAGTCATTGTGGAATCAGTGCGCACAGTGTGTGAACCGAAGCCCCACTTTTTTAAATATATTTTTTTTACAGCGAATGGCGTCTTAGAAGACGGACTTTCCGAAGCCCACTTTTTTTTTTACTAGGAAATGGCGTCTTAGAAGACGGACTTTCCCAAGATTAGATCTACACGAAACTAAGGAAAACTGAAAATTAAACTACAGTGATTTCAGACTCCTTAATATAACTGTGCACCCTTTAAATGATTCTGAACCACCGTTAACTTTTTTCAAATTCGAAAGTTAAGTAATTAGGAAGTTTTAGGCGACCAAAGAGACGAACTTTCACAAATATAATATTGTAGATACCTTTCCGGCAGCACGTTGAGAGCAGCTGACCACTGACAAACAAAATCACGTTTTTACAGTGTTATTTCTGTGAAGTATTCAGACGTTTATTTACAAGACGTGATTAATAATTTAACAGCGCATGTACATCAAGGGAGGCAACAGATAAATAAACAAGATGGCTGCTATCTCTGTAGAGTCGAGCCAGCGTGAGCCGGTAAACTCTGCTGAGTTGTACTGTTGTGTTTTATAGATCTAGACCAGACTATAGTCTTTTTTTTGGGGGGGGGGGGGTTACCATAATTGTTTTAGGGCGCTCGCAACTGCAAAATGTCATATGAGCGCGCGGGACACACCAAACATTTTCAGTTGGAAGGAAATTTTGAATTTTTCCCGGGTGGCGGCAGAAGCCTATTCTTATCGATTTTAGACGACCAAGGGATCTTTGACATGCGCAACTTGCACACGAGACCTCTGAGATTTTTCGCCTTTGTACGAGAAGGCTAGGCGTAGATCTTACCTACTCTAAGATCAGGGGTGTGACAGCCAGCAGTACGAAGTAGCCAAGGAGAAGCAGTGAAAAGGTTGCAGAAAGAGTCAGGAGCCAAGAGGGGGGGGGGGGGGA